ATAAAATGAAATAACAAAAATCTAAAATAACAAAAAATATATAATATAATAAAATTTAAATATATATATGTATATAATATAATAAAATACCATTGATTGTCACAACAATGTATGTATACTCTTCTTGACTTGATATGATTATCAATATTTGATATGTTCGTTTTACTGATTTGGATCATTTCATTGTGGCATTCCCACTAGCCGCACATCTGACCATTGAAATTAGATCGAGTAAACTTATAAAGAAAAATCAGTGAGAAATAATTGAAGAATTGATTACATCTTTCAAACGACGGCGTTCATCTCGCATATTATGCCGACGAAGCACTCTGCAATTGGCTCGTACTCTTATGGAAGATGATCAGTTGAGACTCAAATGGCTCGCTCATATCAATGCTATTGGTTCATATTTGACTGTTCAGCCGAACAGCGTAGCACTTTGGAAAAGTGATAATCAAATTATTTATTTTTAGTAATTGAGAATTACATTCAAAATAAACATGAATTCGTTTTTTTTCTCGGCTAAGCATCTTGAAAATAAAGAGGGCGAACTTGTTAATATCATGATCAGGTCTTTCCAATATTTTAAAAGTTACAATTATATTTTTGAAACATTGCAAGATTCTGTCCAATATTTTAAGTGTGCTAGATGTTTAATTTTGATCTATTGTTTAAGTTGTTTTTTCATTAAAAAAAAATTTTATTACATTGGCAACTTAGTTGCTATCGTTTCCTGTGAAAAGCCTCTTGAAGAAATCAAATTTCTTTAGTTCCTCACTTGATAGAATTCATCCTTGTCATATAGTAAAATAACTTTTCATATATGCAATCATCATCAGCAACAAAGATATCATTTGTGATCATGAGTCTACTTTATTCAATACCAACAATTTTTTTTCATTATTTTACAATATGACTGTTATTCCAAGTTCCGTTTACTTACTAATTATACCCATATTGCAGAATTACTTACTTCAAAATTCACACTAAACTGTATTTACTTTTCGTTTAGTTAAATATCATTCATAGAGTATTTCTATCAGTAGCTATTTAAAATCTACCGCAATTTAAAAATCATTTAGATTGTTAAATCATTTGATTGGATACTTTGAGAAAGTTTCAACTCCTCACGTGACGAGTTGAAGAGGCAGCAAAAATCAGGGGTTTTGTAACACCAGAAGTATGGATATACAAAAACACAGGGATGCGGTAACCGAATTTACCGAGCGATCGTAACGGTTATTGCAGGAAGTTCATAACAGTTGCAGAGCTTTCGCAACGAAGCAACAGAGATTTCGTAATGAAACATGTTAGTTATGCTTCATTTATGTAGAGAAATCACGTGAGTTTCATGACGAATTTAACAGGGCTTTCATAAAAGCTAAAATAGAATTTCTGACGACACATTTCAAAGGATGTAAGAGTGTCAAAACAGGGCTGTCGCAACGAATTTGATAGAGAAGACATAACCGTCCATTCAGGGTTGTCATTCCATAACAGTATAATGTGTTTAGGTTAGATCACAGGATTATCGTAACGAAATATCAGAGTTCTCGTGACGAATCATCTTGTTCCTGTATATTATCACTCACATTTCTTCAGTAAAGTATATTACGACAATCCTGTAAAATTCAATACGAAACTCTAATTCTGTCCTAAAGAAACCTCTGTTACGAATTTTCTACTGTCAATTTGTTACGAGTCAGAAAACAAAAATCGTGACCAATTGAAAATTTCCCAATACTTTTCTATGCTCAAAATCTAAATCATTATAGCAAAAAAAAATGTCAAATTCAATTTGAAAGAAAAGTTTTATGAGAACGCTTTCATCTGCCCCAGAACTTATTATCATGCTAGCCTACAAAAACAATATTTATCATGTTT